GCCCTCTGATGCTTGAATCTCCTTCAGGGTATCCCTCCATGTAGCCATCCTGTCTATGTTGGAATATCTCAAACAACAGGAAACTCAGGCCTCCTATGCCACTCTGCCTGCTAGCAAGCTTTTCCTCATATTAAGCCATAGTTTTTCTTCCAGAGAATTTCCATCCATTGGTCCCAGTCCCCTTTCTCTGCAATAACATGAAACAAATTCACAGGCTCTTTCACATGACCTCCTGACAGCCTTTCAAATAAAGGCAGCTTTAAATTCTTCCCAACTATCCGCCGAATAGATTCCAGGTCATGATTCCAGGTCATGATTCCAGGGTCCTGGGATCGAGTCCCACATGGGGCTTCTTGCTCAGCGGGGAACCTGCTTCTCCGCCCCTCCCCTGGCTTGTGCACTCTCACTCTCTCTCAAATAAATAAAATTTTTAAAAATTTAAAAAAATAATAAAATGCTTGATTGCTTACTCTGTGCCAGCTACTCTCTTAAGTCCTTACCTTCACTACCTTGTTTAAACCTTTTGATAACCTCATGACATGGGCTACACTTTTCATCCTAATTTTAGAGATGTGAAAATAAGCGTGTTGGACAAGATCTTTTATTTGGCCGTCTAGGTATACTTTTATCCCTTCACTGCACAGTGCTACGCACCAGGAGAGAGACTAATGTGGACAACATCTGACTTCCCACTGGGTGGGACCCTGGTTGACACTGGCAGGAGATCAGAAGACTGAGGAGAGTGAGCTATTTATTATCCTATGCAATTGTTTCCTCAGTCAAAGATCATACTCTTCTCAATGCACTCACCTTCGCACACCTCTGTTCACTGTTCTCCCACTTTTTTTTCATATGCTGGACGTGATAGAAGGGTACTGTTACTAGCCTCAGAGTTCTGTTCTACCCTTTGTGGTTTTCCTACATCCTGTCCACAGCTTTGAATATAGCATCTTCATTAAACTTTCTTCAAAAATGCCCAATTTGCGGGGTGCCTGGTTGGCTCAGTCAGTGGAGCATGAACTCTTCATCTCGGGGGTTCGAGCCCCACGTTGGGTGTAGAGATTACTTAAAAATAAAATCTTAAAAAAAAAATGCCCAATTTGAGATGTCATCTGTTTCCTACCACTTCCCTGTCTGATAGACTGAGACACAGAGAGGTTGGTAACTGGCCTGAGAACCAACAACTAACAGTGGCAGGGCCAGCGTAAACACCCAGGCAGTCAGCCTGAAGAGCAGGCTGCCGTGACTAAGCGGTACCGCCTCCTGCCAGGGAGTAAGTGAGCAGTACCTGTTTGCTCTCCTACTTACCTGTGCTACACACGGTGTAGACCAGGGGTTGTCACGGGTTTACTGACATCCATAGGAAGTAGGAAGGCACAACAGAAGAATTCATTTTGTTAAAATTTATTATGGTGTTTGGAAACACCTTTACACAGATCTATCCAGAACTCTGGTGAAAGATGATCATTTTAAGTGTGTTTTTTGTTTATTTTTTGAAACGACGTCTGGTGAGTTTACCACAATTGGCACTGAAATGCCTGCAGCTGGAATACATCACAAAGGCTCTTTTTCTGTTCCTTTCACTAGATCTGGACATGTAATAATGACGTTCTAAGAACTGTGGGCTACTACATCCACGGTCCAAAGTGTTTATATTTAAACAAGTGACCAGGGGCGCCTGGGTGGCTCAGTCGTTAAGCGTCTGCCTTCAGCTCAGGTCATGATCCCAGGGTGCTGGGATCGAGCCCCACATCAGGCTCCCTGCTCAGTGGGAAGCCTGCTTCTCCCTCTCCCACTCCCCCTGCTTGTGTTCCCTTTCTCGCTGTGTCTCTCTCTGTCAAATAAATAAATAAAATCTAAAAAAAAAAAATAAACAAGTGACCAGATCATAAAATCTCCTAAGGGCACTGCATTCCAAGGTAGGCAAGCATTTGGCACTAAAATGCTATTTGTGGAAAAAATGAAATACACAGTTTTCGATTTTTGTGGGAAAGGTGAAATACAAATCACTTATTTGAAATTACTACTAATAAATAAGTCTTAGAATCTCTTCATTGTTATTCTCATGCTTAAGCTCTTAGAAGTCCTCTATAGTGGGTTATGTTTTTGTCTCCCTAGGAAAATTAAATTGTGACATATGTTATAAGGCTTTGGGGGTTATCTAGTTCTTTTCAGATCATTAGTGCATGCTAGAGCAAGGTAAAAAGCTGGGGAAATTTAGGCTATCCCTTGGCATTAAACAAGTTGTATCCAGATATCTGGCTGAAGTTCTCACATTTCGAGGCACCCCCGTGGCTCAGTCAGTTAAATGTCTGCTTTCAGCTCAGGTCATGATCTCGGGGTCCTGGGATAGAGCTCTGCGTCGGGCTCCCTGCTCAACAAGGAGTCTGCTTCTCCCTCTCCCTTGGCCCTTCCCCCCTGCTTGTGCTCTCTCTCTCTCTCAAATAAATACATAAAATCTTAAAAAAAATAAAATAAAAATTTCACGTTTCAGCTGTTTCTATTATTGGCATCCGAAAGAAAAAAAAATGCAAAGTTAAAGACATGAGTTTATACCTTCTTCTGAGATGCCCTGGAAATTTTACCATAGGTCTTATACCTGATAGCTCCCACAGATATAACAAAAGTTCTTATTTGAATTGGTTTTACTAGAATATATTTACGTCGGAAGACAGAAAACCCCAAATGAATAAAACTATATGACAAGTCTATATTAGGAAAAATTCAATCAGCTGAATATGTTTTACTACTTACTGTTGGACTTTTTTTGTCAGAATAAAAGAAAAGTGTAGTTCCTCTCAACTCTGTCCAATAATGTTTATACTCCTGTGGAAAAAAAATTATAAGCATTATTTCATTGGTATATATTCACCTATTTTCCTATTAATATTTTTCTTTGTAACTTTCTTAATTGCTATTTGATATAAGGTTCTTCTTTATCCTGAGATAAATCACCTAATTTTATGGCTTAATTTTACATTTAACTCTTGATTAAATCCTTTACAAATTTATTTTAGCATAAGGTGTGAGGTAAGGATGTGATTTGATTTGTGTTTAAATAGATCATTTTTCAAAATTTTCCCCATTGATTTAAGACACTTGACTTTTTATGTAGGTTTCAGTGGAAGTTTGCACCTGTAAAAGGGGTCATTTAAAGGGGCAGGATAGGACAAGCATTAAATATCTACATTCCAGAACAGTTGAAAGGATTGAATGGATTGATAAATGTAAAGCACTTAGCAGAGTACATGGCTCGTAGTTTGAGTTCTATAAATAGTATATGTTTATATAAATAAAGGCAATGTGAACAGTTCATAATCATAAAAATAATTTAACATGATCAAAACTAAACTTTGAAGTCCAAATTTCATTCATGTGGTGAATATTTCATTATTGCTACATTCACATTATTATGGGTTCTATAGAAATACAACTTTTTAAGTTTAAAAAATTTAAAGTCTCATTTCACTCAAGTGAAAATTTATTTAAATAAGGGTAATTTACATTTTATATGAAGAATGGCTGTATTACGAAAGAATGGCAAGGGGATTTCGAGAATAAAATCCTTCCACATCTTAAGACTTACCTTCATACGCAGCTCTTTCCAAAAGTACGTTTTTAAAAATTCCAGTTTCATAGACATGTTGATCATTCCTTCCTTTAGGGTTTAATAAGCTCAGTTTTTATAACACGTTGGATTATCTTGACTTATATTGAGGATTAATATAAGGGAATTACATGAAATTTTTTTCTTTTGCTTATAAAATGTGAAGATACTTTTTATATATTATGGTATTTTGGGTCTCTTTAATACTGACATATCGTTTATCCTTTTTTTTTTACCAGAAAATGTTTGTCACCTCTTCAGAATTTATATACGTCTTTTCTCAAATAATGGGAACTCTACAGCCCATCTTGTTTTTATTTGCCTTGGCTCCCGGAAGCTCAAGATTAAATTCATTTTGAATTAAAACAACCATCTTTCTCATGTTCTTAGTAGAACTACTTTCTCCCTTTCTCTTCATGCCTGATAAGGTGCTATTTTAGTTAGCTTTTACTGTGTAACACGCAGCCCTAAAACTTAGCGGACTAAAATAGGAAACATTTTCTATTTCCCATCATGCTGATGCTGGTGATGATTCTTTGGGCATACTTCCCTGTGGCAGGTCTAGGGTGGCCTCACTCACTTGCCTGGGGTCTTAGCTGGGAATGCAGAACTGAGAGTGATACAATCAGAAACATATTTGGTCTTTTTCCCCAGTTCCTGGCATAGAGAGCCTAAAACTCGGAATTTCCTGAGGGACAGGAGTGTTTTTATTATTCACAATGAGCCCCTTTACATAATACCTGAGTTTATACTAATGAGGTGACTTCGGATGGGACCCCTGGTAGCTTCAGGCTAGGTCTGGTGGCCAGAAGAACAACTGATTAATGGGTTGGAATTTTCAGCCCCACCCACCAAACTCTAGGCAAAAAGGGGGGTGGGCTGGGAGATTTAAGTTTCATAAAAACTCTTGAACAATGTGATTTGATGAGATTCCTAATTGGTGAACACATCCACATCCTGGGAGGGTAGTGCGGCCCGACTCAATAGAGACAGAAGCATGAGTGCTTGGGACCCTTCCAGACCTTGCCCTAAGTACCTCTTCATCTGCCTGTTCTTTTGTATCCCTTACCAGTAAATATAAGTAAAGTGTCTTCCTGAGTGCTGTGGGCTATTCTAGTAAATTATCAAATCTTAGGAAGGGGTCATGGGAATTCTTTTTTTTTTTCCTTAAGATTTATTTATTTATTTTATAGAGCAAGAGAGCCAGCAGGGGGAGGGGCACAGGAAGAGGGAAAGACAGAATCCCAAGCAGACTCCCCGCCAAGCATGGAGCCCAACTCAGGGCTCCATCTCACAACCCTGAGGTCATGACCAGAGCCAAAATCAAGAGCTGGACATTTAACTGACTGAGCCATTCAGGTGCCCCAGGAACTCTTGATTTATAGTGAATTGATCAGAAGTATGGGAGGCCTGGAACTTAAAATTGGTGACTGAAGTGGAGGGCAGCCCTGTGGGACCGAGCCCTTAATTAAGCCATGGGGTCTGCACTATGTCTGGATAGGTAGCGTCAGAATTGAGCTGAACTGTTGAACACCTACTTGGTGTCCAGAGAATCAGAGAAGTGATTGTTGGTGTTGGAAAATCCCCCACTGAGACAACTGGAGTCTCACTCCATAGGGTCTTGTCTCCAGGCAGGTAAACTAGACTTGTCCACATGCTAGCGGAAGGATTCCCAGGAACAAGAGAGGGCAAGGTCCAATGTGTGAGTACTTTCTAATGTGCTTTTGTCACGTTCACCAAAGCATGGCCCAGCCCAGATTTCGAGGGGTAGAAAAATAAATGCAATCTCTTGATGGAAGAGCAGAAAAGTCACATTTCAAGGGAAAATGCATACAGTGAGGCTTGAACAAACTGGTAGTACTGTAGTGATCTACCTTAGGGACAGAGCTGGAACGTGGCACAGGTTTCTTCATCCAGGACCTGTGGTCTTTCCACAACATCCTACCTCCTAATTGACAGTTGGCTATAATGTAATGTATGGAACCTGCTGATGCCTCCTGAGCCAAGAACAAATTAACAAAGGCCAACTCTAAGGGGCATAAGATTGAAGGATCAGCCAATAGATGGCCCCCAAAGGAGCAATTATGAAACTGGGCAAATAAATTCTTCCTCTTATCTGAAATCCAGATACCCAGTATTTACCCGACACATCTCAGAGTCAAGCAGTTTAATAAGACCAGAAAACAAACCTTGCCTTCAGCCCCATCAGAAATCTTTTATTTCCCTCTTTTCATATACAAAGTGTTTGTTGTTGGCATTGCGGTAGCGCTTTGCCTGGTTTTTCTGCTGCCTTCTTATGCCCTCTGATCTACCCTGTACAGTGCAAGAGAGTGAATTATCTCCTCTGCAGACAGTAGGACTGACCTAGGTTGGAGACAATATGCTCAACTTAACCCCTGTCTATCCTCTCTCTGCTCAGCCTACTGGGAGGGAGTGGGCGATCTTCTCTGGTCCTGCCATGTGGCAAAGGGCCTCCAAGAGGGGAGCATTATGGCTCTTAAACTGAGTCAGTGAGTGACTCAAGGTAGCTCAAGCCTACCTAAATCTGGGGTAAAGTGTTAGCATTGTTTTGGCCGTAAATCTAAACCACATATCGATAGATTTTATTGATGATAAAAGTACCTAACTGATCTTTGTGGGATTCCTCTGTCTTAATTTTTAGTTGGCTTCATACTTGGGAGACAAAAAAAAAAATCCCCACAAATGGATATAAAAATCTATAGAGCAGGGGAAGTGGGAATAACTGCTAATGGGGTTCCTTTTTAGCATGATGAAAATGTTCTAGAACTAGATTGTGGTAATGTTGTGCAACTTTGTGAATGTATTAAAAGTCCTGAATTATAAAGATGATGATGATGGTGACGACTGTGTCTCCTGTATGAGGGTGCACTGTTAACGGACCAAGAATAGAGGTAGGCACCAGCCTCCTGCTCTTGCTTCTTAGAGTTGTTTAAGGATTAAATGGAATAATGCTGTATATAAAGTACATAGGACCTGGGATTTAGCAAGTGTTCCATAAATGTTAGCCACTTAAAAAAAAAAAAAGCATTGTCTCATCACTCACATTATTTTTTTTAATCTTTTTTTTATTTTATTTTATTTATTTTTTATTTTTTTTTTTAAATTTTATTTATTTATTTGAGACAGAGAGAATGAGAGAGAGCAAGCACATGAGAGGGGGGAGGGTCAGAGGGAGAAGCAGACCCCCCGCCGAGCAGGGAGCCCGAGGCGGGACTCGATCCCAGGACTCCGGGATCATGACCTGAGCCGAAGGCAGTCGCTTAACCAACTGAGCCACCCAGGCGCCCTCATCACTCACATTATTAACAGGTACTTTGCATTTTAAATTATCCATATGTTTTTTGCACAATGGTGATTTTATGTGTGTATGTGACAGTGGTGGCATCTAAAAATCTCCAAAATAGATCTTTTTCAATGGGATTATATATGAGAAAGGGAGGATATTTTGTGAGCCAGGATAATGAAACCCATTGCCATTCACAAATAGTATGAAAGTGTGCTTTCATATTGTCTTAAATAGAGAAATAGAAAACTACATTGAGAAATTCGGCTTAAGAAGTTGCTAATATATATACTGTCTCTATGACCAGTCAGATGTTCTGTAAAACCCATAAGAGCATCTAGTTACTCTGTTGAAAAATACTTGAATTTTCTCAGGTTTGACTTTCTTTTCTTTTCTTTTTTTTTAAAGAATTTATTTATTTATTTGACAGAGAGAGAGAGCACAAGCAGGGGGGGCGGCAGGCAGCGGGAGAGGGAGAAGCAGGCTCCCCACTGAACAAGGAGCCCGATGTGGGACTCGATCCCAGGACCCTGGGATCATGATCTGAGCCGAAGGCAGATGCTTAACCGACTGAGCCACCCAGGCGTCCCAATTATCAGGTTTGACTTTTTTTTTTTAAGATTTTATTTATTTATTTGACAGAGAGAGACACAGCGAGAGAGGGAACACAAGCAGGAGGAGTGGGAGAGGGAGAAGCAGGCTCCCCACTGAGCAAGGAGCCCCATGTGGGACTCAATCCCAGAACCCCGGGATCATGACCCGAGCCGAAGGCAGATGCCCAAGGACTGAGCCACCCAGGCGCCCCAGGTTTGACTTTCTTTCTTTCTTTTTTTTTTTAAAGATTTTATTTTTTTTATTTTGACAGAGAGAGAGAGAGAGAGCACAAGTAGGCAGAGTGGCAGGCAGAGGGAGAGG